TTGCAACCTCGTGATGTCATTCCTATATTACCAGTGGGCAGAGATACCCAAATTCCAGGGGCTACCCTAAAGAAACAGTCTCTTCCCCACCTCCATTCATTCCACTTCATCTGCCATCCTGACCAGGCAGCCCCGCTCTGCTCCAAACCCATGATCTCCTCCTTCCCCATTCAAAAGAGTGCAACACAGATGGACGCAATGGTTCTACTTTCCAGCATCCTCCCTCTTCCCAGAAGATTCATTTAACCGATCTGCTATTTTAATGCTTACTTTCCTGTGAGCAATTCCCACTTGCCTGGCTCCCTTCCCTCCAGACCACACACAGCTGGGACGGCCAGGTGTCCGACTGACTGCAATGCAAGCTGGGCAGCTGGCTTCCTATTCCTGAGGTGCCTGGCAATTGGAGACAGCATCATTTCTCCCTCCTGGAATACAGCTTATGTTCGTGACAATGCTGATCCAGGAGTTCTCAAAGGTGCTGCTGGTGCAAGTTTTTAATCATTTCAGGAGATAAATGTGTATTTTGCTTCAAATATTTCATTTGTTCTGAGGATTGAATTCATGTTTCAAAAGTGAAATTATAATGGGGGCCGATAGAAATCTAGAAACTTGGACACTCTTTCATGGAGGCTCAAAGCTGAGGGCAGAGGACAAATCAGAATATCTGGAAGACCTTTAAATGCTTTGTAGGAGATCGATCAGGGTTTCTGCCTTTCATCTGTCAAACGAAACAATTGTCTTCCCTATATTGTTGGAAAAAGCACTTATGGAAAAACCAGAAGAGGATTTTTGCATGAAAAGACTCATGAACTTGATTCCTGATACAGATCACAAATTCCTAGACTGATTTTTTTTTAATGAAAACCTGTAAGGACATATCCATGACATTATTTCACAGGTAGCCTTTGATCCATGGATCTCACGGTTCTATGAGAAAGAGAAAGTTGACCCAGTGAGCCTGAAATCTGCCTGTTCCTTTTCTACACCACCCCACCCCAGCTTGAGTCAGCCTCCAGAGCAGTGTTTTTCAACGCTGGCAACTTTAAGATATGTGGACTTCAACTCCCACAATTCTTGGCGGGGGGATCTGTGGGGGTAAATTCCAAACCTCTTAAAATTTCCAAGATTAAAAAAACACGTTCCC